AGATACTCGAAGCTACTGTAAAAAATAAACCCATATCCTCTTTACTGCCAACCCTTTTTATTTGCATGATCACGTCAAATAAGTTTTGGTTTCGATCAACTTGTGATAGTTGAGGGAGAAACTTTGTTCAATAATCAACCAACGCCGGACATCGTAGAAGGATATGATTCAGATCTTTTGCCCCTGCTTCGCAGAATCCACAGCCAATTGAAACCTTTATTTGCTTCCTGATCAGATTAGCGACAGTCGGCAGGATGTTCAAGCACACTCGCCAAGCAAAAATTCGAATCCTATGGGGAATTTGTAAATTCCATATGGTCTTCCACAACTCCTTGATTGCTTGAGAATGAGATGACTCCTCTCTGCTAGTAGGTTTGTTGATTTGCATCCATTTGTATGCTGACTTTGCCGTGTATTCCCCACTTTTTTCTGCTTCCCAAAACAATATGTCTGAATGCAAGTCAGACTAATAGGGATCTGTAGGATTTTATCTGCCACGTTTGGATTGAAGAGAGTTCTGACTTTTTCCCAATCCCACCATCTTGTGTGTTTGTCAATTAATTGATCAACCGTCATGGTTTGCATTTTTGAAATATCCACGTTTGCTGCTTCCCGGCATGTTTTGGGTTCCACTCCAGGGACCCAGTAATCCAACCATATGCTCACTCCCTTTCCATCTCCTATTCTCCATCTACACCCGTGTAGTAGAACTGATCTGGCTTCCAGAATACTACGCCATGTATAGGAGGGGTTGCTTCCCAGTTTAGAGCTCAAAAAATCTAAATTTGCGAAATATTTTGCCTTAAGTAAGGTATGTAATAAAGTTCCCTCCCCATTCAGTAATCGCCAGCCTTGCTTTGCTAGCATCGTCAGATTAAAATCCCTCAATATTTTAAAGCCCAAACCTCCATTAACTTTCGATTTACACGTATTCTCCCAGCTAACCCAATGGATTTTCCTTTCATCTGTTTTTTGGCCCCACCAAAATCTAGCCATCATTGACTCAAGCTCAGTGCACAAACTATTCGGCAGAAGGAAGCAGGACATAAAGTATGTGGGAATTGCTGTCGCGACCGCCTTAATTAAGACCTCTTTACCTCCTTGAGATAAGAATTTTTCCTTCCAGCTCTGTAATTTTTTCCAGACTCGATTTTTAATATCTGAGAAGGCCCTCGACTTTGCCCTACCCACCATCGGTGGCAAGCCTAAATATTTATCAAAATTGTTCTCATGTTGGAGGTGCCACATGTCCAGAATTTGTTTTCTTTGCTGAGCTGCCACATTTCTACTAAACACCATCGATGTCTTCTCCATATTGATCACCTGCCCCGAGGCCCTCTTATAAATCCTCAGAAGTGTTTGCAAATTCTGGTTTTCCTGTACCGTAGCCTGGCAAAAAATCACACTATCATCTGCAAAGAGGAGGTTGTTAATCATAGGAGCTCTTCGACACACTCTGGTACCACTGATTTTGCCCTCGTCTTTAGCCGTATGTAGCAAAGTGATTAAACCCTCCGTGCAGAGAAGAAAGAGGTAGGGAGATAGAGGATCCCCCTGCCTTAGACCTTTGTTGGGGAAAAAAGTTGCTGAAGGTTCACCATTAATCAGAACAGAATACGACACTGTTTTCACACATTTCATAATCAGGTTGATCATTCTGTGGTCAAACCCCATTGTTACCATGACCTGCTCCAAGAAATCCCAATCAATTCTATCATACGCCTTACTCATATCAAGTTTAATGGACATATACCCTTTTTTTCCCTTCCTCTTATGGCGTAGATAATGAAGCAATTCGTATGCAATCAAGACATTATCCATGATCAGACGGCTTGGCACAAAGGCTGATTGAAATTCAAATATAACATGAGGCAAAATGTGTTTCACTCGATTAGCAATAGTCTTGGTTATCAGTTTCAATAACACATTACATGGACTGATCGGGCGGTAATCAGTGATCTGAGTAGGGTAGGGCTTCTTCGGGATCAACGTTATAAGGGTATGATTTAATTGTCGGGGAAAATCACCTGTGTTAAGTACTTGAAGCACTGCCGCCGTCACCTTGCGGCCAACTGTTGCCCAGTGTTTCTGAAAGAAGACTGGACTCATCCCATCCTGGCCAGGTGCCTTTAGTGGGTCCATTTCATTCAGTGCTTGTTCAACCTCCTGTGCTGTAAACCTCTTGGTGAATTCATCATTCATCTCTGCATTCACTCTACCCCTTAGAGGCTCCAGGAATGAGGAAGTGCCCCTCTGCGTATTTGCAAAGAATAGGTCAATGAAGTACTGCTTGATCAGATTGTCTCTTTCTTCCCCAGCCAGCCAGTTTCCATTATCATCTTTGAGTCTTGAAATGTTGTTCCTCTTTCTTCTCTGTGAAGCCTTAGAGTGAAAGAAGCGAGTATTGCCATCGCCTTCCTTCAGCCAGAAAGCCTTAGATCTTTGTCTCCACATAAGTTCATCCCGGTCCAGCCAAGTTTGAACTTGATTCCTCGCCACCTTCATCTGATGTGTACCCATACGTCCCGTATCTTGCAGGTACTTAAAGTTTGATTGTGCCTTATTAAGATTTGACTGAACATTTCCAAAATTTGATTCATTCCAGCATTTCAACTCCCCTCCACATAAAGAAATCAGTTTCATGACTTCTTCGACAGCAGGCCCTTCCTCCCTCGTATTCCACACTTTGTTGATAATATTCTTACAGCCTTCCTTTCCTACCCACATAGCCTCAAATCTGAACATCTTTTGTACCCGTGTTCTGCCATCATTTACACCTTCAACCTTTAACCACAGAGGGATATGATCTGAATACGGAGAGCTCCCGTGTATTACCTTAGCTTGTGGAAAAGAGACACACCACTGAGTGTTAGCCAGGACTCTATCCAGTCTTTCAAGTACCCATTCATCCCCATCCCGCCAATTACACCAGGTGAATTTGTCCCCCTGAAAACCTAAGTCCCTTAGCGAACAATCATCAATTATCCTCTGGAATTCAACCATCTGCCGTTCTTGTTTGGGTCGACCCCCTTCTTTCTCCTCATTACATAGAATTTCGTTAAAATCCCCTAGCAGAACCCGGGGACCTGAGTGAGATTGGTACAAACTTCGAATCAAATTCCAGCAATAGTACTTTTGAGATGCTTCTGGGTGGCCATAAACGCTTGTCATATGGTAGCTCGTATTATTTCTACCAATGTCCTTTAGCACAGCATCAATGTGATTGCTTGAGTAGCTTTTGACGGTTAGGTCAACAGAGGTGACCCATAACAGAGCTAGACCCCCACCTCATCCCACACAATTTACAGTAAAATAGTTTGAAAAACCAAGAGAGTACCTACACCTTTCCATTTCCTTCGTAATTAATCTTGTTTCTTGAAGGAAAAGGACTTCGGGACCTTGCTTCGCCACCAAATTGCGAAGAGCACGAATGCCACGTGGGTTCCCAAGCCCACGGGCATTCCTAGAAAGCAGCTTTATTGATTTCGGCAGGGCTGGACTCCAGCCTCTGCGGATCGCCTTTGGATTTTCCTCGTGGACTCGCTCTGTTTGACTCCACCCTCATCTTTCCCCAAATCTCCAATCGAGCTAGAGATTATAGGAGCTTTACGTTCGCGAGCCACATGTGTTTCCACATCACCCTCAGATGAGGTCTCTGTCTGGGACTGAACTCCCACAGGTCGAATTCGTTTCCATTTTCGGCTCACTGTCCCTTCAGGCCCCTTTAGGACTGGATTTGGATCGTCCTTATTATTCAAAACTGGCCCTTCCATAACATTTAATCCCATAAACATCTTGGGCTCTCTTTTCACTTTGAGCCCAGTTGACAGAATTTGCGAGGCCCAGCCCATTTTTATCACCATAACCCAGAGATACCTGATTCTTTTTTGCACTCTGATTATGTGACGGTGTCGTTTCAACCAGCTCCATTTGGCTTATCATTTCCAAACCCGAAGATTCCACCACAACTGTTTTCCCCTTATTATTCGGAATTATGGGGATTACCTCTGTAGTTTCCTCCAATAACTGCAATTATGCTGTGAGTTCTGGAATCATTCCATGATTCTAGCTAACCATTTCTGCAATCCCCTCATGTTGTGCCAGTTTCATTCTGTGATTATCGTTGTGAGGCTTGTGGGCCATGTGATATGCCCTAGCATTTCCTGGTAGGCCCGGTACCATTGCCGGAAACGCACCAGCTGTACTCCGGCTGCCGAAGTTTATTCCTGAACGACTCCTTCCTCCCAAGCTATTCGCTTTCAGCCATGGACCATAGGGGAGCTTTGATACATCATCTTCCTCCAAATTCGCATCTGGGGAGGTGCAATCCTTGAAGGAATGCCCAATTTTGCCACAATGATAGCAATACTCAGGCAACCTTTCATAGGTAAAACGTGTCCATACAGTGCCTTCACCCCCAATGCAGATCTTCTTTCCCCTGAGCAGTGGCCTTGTGACGTCCACTACAACTCGAATCCTCATATACTCCCTCCACGTACATCCACTATCATCCACCTCCACATCTTCAACTCGAACAAAGGAACTCCCAACCGAATATCCCAGTTTTTTCGCCCTAGCTGAAAAGGGTAATAAGTTATGTGTTCTTACCCAGAATGAGCAGTGCTTAAGTTGAATTTGACTAATTGGCTGCTTACTGTCAATCTCCCCCATCAGTAAGAGAGATTTATCAAAAGCCCAAGGGCCCTCACGCAATACTTTCTGTTTATCGTTGGCATATTCGAATTCGATCAAGAAGAAAGTCGAATTTAACTCTCGAAACCAGACTTTTCGACCCAGCCTCCATATCTTTCTCATAGTGCCGAATAAAGCCTCCTTGTTGTAATATTTTGCAGTTTGAAGTTGTGCACACATGCATCGTTCTGCCCTTACTGAGGCTTCTTCCAGCGTTTCCCCTTCAACCAACACCTCTGTTTCTTCACCATTCGTCAGCGTCAACTGTTGATAAAGGTTGTCAAGGTCCCTTGCCATCACTGAGGCAGTAGAAAACAACCTTGTACAAAGACAGGAAAAAACCTCTACTGAGGAACCCTAGCTGAGTCCTAGAGATGAGATATTCCCTGATCTTTGTAAGCTCTAATATTATCTTAAATACCTTAGTCATAATGATAACATGCTCACGAAGGGGAAGACAAATTTATTGCTTTAGATCTTTTGCAATTTTAACATGTCACATAAATTACAATGGTTTAAAATTACACTACCATACGTTTTTGAGAGCCATTGGATTGTCGGGGGCGCCTATTGGCCTTGGCCATCTAGGGGTGCCACGTACCCTCCACCAATTGGGGTTGCCACATGGCATCCTTAGATGGTCTTGCCCATATGACCTTGAGAACTGCTATATTTACAGTCATTAAGGGCTGTAAATTTTACAGTCAATTAATTAATTAGTGAACCCCACATTCATGTGAGAAAGCTGTATAATTTACAATCTTTAATGATTGTACAAGTGTATTTTCCCTATGACCTTGGCCAAGGAGCTCTATTTTACGTTTTTCAAGTACATTTTTTCCTTGTGTCGTCACTAAATGACATACATTTTTGAGAAAATTCAAAGCAATTTTTCTTTCAATTCCCACACTTAAAAAGGGGTCTTTTAAGAAACTTGGATAAAGTGTTTTTTTATAGTTATTGCATATTAAGTAGTAAAAATTAACTTTAAATTCTTAAAATTATATACGCGTTTAGTTCTTGAACCGAGATTTTACATTTAAAAATGTATTTAACAAACCAATCTTACTTCATTTATCTTTTTCACGGTCACTCACAACTCAAGATAAAGTAGTAGGACTATGGTAAGTCGATGACTAATGTAAAGCTTTATCACATTTTGTAATATGAACCCTTAAATATATTTTGTTGCGGCATCTTCTACTAGCAATGAAATGATTGAAATTGGAAAATCAAATTCATGTAATCGAATCCGACTTTATTGAAAACAAGACTTAACTTTATAAACGAAGTTTTTTATTCCGACAGTCACTTTTACTTAACCATTGTTTGCATAATTTACTTGGTCAACATCATAATAATACACGATTCTATTTGATAGTAAGAAAACCGAGTGTATACTCTTTCTGAATATTGCTCGTTTGTCAACACAATCATCGCAAGATTGTGGCTTTACCAAGCTGGTCTAATGTTTGAACCGGTAAATATTTTGAAAAATAAGAATATACAAATTTAATAGTTTTACAACTTAAACAAGTTCTAGGCTTGTATGAACTTGACTAATGGATTGCATTAAATTGAAGTCCAACATGATAACACGGATATGTTGTTGTCATGTGTTGAATTCTTGTATTATTGTATTATATTATAATAAATCTCAACACATTTCCAACTATAAAGCCCTTTGCATTCATATCCTAAACAAAAACAAGAAACCAAAATTTCCTCCATCTCTGGTGGCACAGTACAAATTTCCTGGCTCTTCTTATTAAACCATGTCTGAAACAACAATCCACGACTTGCCGGAAGACTGTCTTGCACACGTTATTGCATTCACGACTCCTCATAACGCATGTCATTCTTCGACTGCATCGACTATGTTTCACAATTCGGCCAAATCGGATTTCGTATGGGACAAATTCTTACCTCGTGATTATTGTGATATCATGTCAAAGTTGGTTTCTCCGGTGGAGTTTTCATCCAAAAAGGATTTGTTTTTCAAGCTTTCTACTCCTCTTCTCATTGATGGGGGCAATAAGGTAAATACAACATAGTCAAAATATCCTCTTAAAAATCATGCAAGCCATACAATTTAGTTCTCTTGCATTTCAATTTATGCTAGCCATACATGCAATTTCAATTGTCACAATCAGTAAGNGCTACATGTTGAGTGCAAGGGAATTGTCAATTGCTTGGGCAAGCAATCCTCATTGTTGGAGCTGGAAACCCCTTCTTCAATCAAGGTATACATTTCTGTCATATAAAACTTAAATTTTTTATTTTTATACAACAATTACTTTTGGGTTTGAACGTAACAAGAATTTTATATAGTCGACTTTAAATATTTCGAAAATAAAGTTTTGGAAAGGTACTATCTTGACATCTAATTTTGAAATCTTTGTTTTTGTGTTAAATCAGATTTTCTGAAGGGGTGGAGCTTATAATGGTAAGTTGGTTAGAGATATATGGAAAAATCAACACTCGGGTGCTGACAGAAAATACCAAATATGGAGCCTACCTCGTTGTTAAACTTGCGGATCGTGCATTTGGATTAGATTCCCTACCATCGGAGGTTTCAGTTGAAGTTGGTGATTATAAATCCACAAGGAAAACTTATTTAAGAGTCAATGAGTGTAAAGAACAAGAATTGGAGCGTGATGCTGTGCAACACAAAACTAACGAATCAAGATCAAGAATTCATGAAGTAGAAGAACGCGTTCTTCATATGCGCGAAGATGGATGGTTAGAGGTTGAATTGGGTGAATTCTATTGTGATGGTAAAGACAAAGAAGTGAAGATGAGCTTGAAAGAGGTGGAGGGTTATCATCTCAAAGGAGGCCTTCTTGTTGAAGGCATTGAGCTTAGACCTAAGCAGTAGATGTTAAACTAATTGAAATGTACATAGAAAATTTCTTTTAAAAGGTCTTTCTTATTAATTCATGCAACTCTAATTTAAATTATAAAAATGATCTCTACTTTCTTCATGTCGACTTCTTCCTTACTCCCTCTAGTTTTCCTTCTTAGGGGACACAACAAAGGATAGTAGGAGTGAAAAAAAAAAAAGATTTGAAAATTGTTCACGAAATTAAATTAGCATTTTCAAGACTATCAACTAGAATAAGATAACTCTAGAGAAAATTAGAATGTAAAAACCATTTTTCTAAAACCTTTTGCAACATGTAAATAACAACATTTGTTAATTATGCGTTGCTAAAAGGGATCTATCGTAAAAGTCAATAAATGTGTGTCGTCGTCGGATAACTTGTTGGAAATATTGAAGAGGAGAAGATGAAGATGGAAACAAGAACAAGATGAAATGAACGATGGAGCTCGAACACGTATATGATACACTGTCCTAAAAACAATATTTGCCTCATCTAGTATGCTTTTAGGATTTCCGACAAATAGTTTAGAGGATTGACTAGCCTTCAAGGAAGAAGCATAAAAAACACAATTGATTTTTCGTAGTTGAACTTGTTGAAAACTTTAAGAAGTTTGAATACTTGATGAATGAATTGGAATATCTCAAGTAATGATTTACTTGTTATTTCTAATATTTGGAAATGAAAATCTATCATCTATTTATAATATTTCCATCCATATGCCTCGAACAGGTCCCAACAATTGCTTCAGTTTCCTACCGACAATTCCTTGTATACGCATGGCCATTTGGCCTATGTGTACGCATATGCATAATCTTCCACATTTCAATTTATTTTCATATGCATAATCTTCCACATATGCATAATGTTCTTTTAATACATGTTGTTAATGTGTCATTTTGCAACATTTGCGACTTCTTGTTGTTAATTGTTTTAGCAACGTTCATTTTTTATTGCCTTTAATGTTTTTGCAGACGTACATTTCAAGTTGTGATTTATTGTTTTAACGATATACAATGCTCGCGAAAGACAATTTTTCTTTTAGTGAATCTTCGATTTGGTTCTAAACAAATTCCTCTATCATATGAGGCTAATCTCCATACAATTTATCCTAGTGTCTGAATATATTAATAGTGCCGTAGCATTTGGTTCTTGAATATTGACTTGGAGGCATTTACCAATCCCCTTCCTTTTGTCTCTATATGGATAACCTTAAAATATTTCTTATAATTTTTAAATATATAATTTATTTTATTGATACTACAAAAATATATTTATAACGTCTGGAAAGTAAAAGTCTCTTCTAACATTTGAGTAGGACCCAATCCATTGAGCATTTGCCCAAGACCGCAACTATTTTTTATTTTTTTAAAAAAAAAAATCAATCTTGCAAAGGATTTGACCTTCCATAGATACGATAAATACTTATTTACATACATTGTTGACTGTTTTTTTTATTTAAATTAAATAAACATTGGAAGTTTGTTTCCGATATTCAATCTTCTCCCAATACTCTTTCACACTCAAAGGAGAAAGATTAAGACGTTATTCGATTCTTGACGCTTACGCTATATTAGTTAATGATGCAAATAGGAGATATGAACTAGTTTTTGATTTTATTTTTCATAAAAAAATATCATTTTTCCAGTCAAATTTTTACTTTTTGGGTGTTTGATTGACAATTTTTTTCACGAAAAATATTTTACAACTTTTCAACATGTGTCCATATTTTCCTCAAAAATAAGGAAAATATTTTCTTTAGAAAGTGATGATTTTTATGTTCCAGGTAATTCACCATCTCCTTCCATACAAATTCTTTACTCGCAATCAAACACAGACTAATTTCAATAGTTTTGGATTGTTTTTATCTTATGCAATCAATTGTTAATTTAATTAGAGTCAACTAGGTCTTCTGCGAAATTAAGGATTTCTTCTTCGGTTTTACCATTTGAACTCTTTGTTAAAGTATTGCCGGACTTTGTTTGTTTGTTGGATGACATTATTGAAACTAAGAGATTTCAAATTCTTTTGATCAAACGTCGGTATTATGCAAAATTAACAATTTGTTGGCCAATGATCAATTCTCGATATTCATACACAAATGTCATTATTGTCAAGTATATGATATTTTTCGAAAGAATCAATATCTATAGAATTCACCCCAGTTTGAATCCCATTTTCTAAAATTTTTTTTTATTTCAAATTCATTTTCAATCATACTTTCTCCCAAAGAATAATTTTACACGTAAATTCAAAATTTTTTCATACTGGAATTCAAACAGAGACTCTGTGACTATTATATGTTGTAAAGAAACTAGTTTTAAAACCATTAGATGGAGGTATCATCTACTCAAAATCTTATAATAAGTAGGTCAGTCCAACTTAGACCGTTCCTAAAAAAACCTTGGGTAACTATGGAGGAGAATGAGGCACCAATTCCTTCAAAGGTATTGACTGGGTGCATATGTTCGTTGACTATAAAAAATTACATGCAGCCTCCCCCAACCCAACCCAACCCACAAAAAGGATCATTGTTCATTGGAATTGATTTCTTACTCTTTATTAGTAGGATAAAAACTTCTCATTATTGATTTGATAAGAGAATCTTCATTATAGTTCTCTGAATTTATGATTATTTCGTAGAACCGTAATTAAAGTTCTCTTATCACGTCAGCAATGTGAAGTTTTTATCCTATCCTATGGAGACAGCAGATTAGGCCAGCATTTTCCATTGCTTTTTTCAATCAAATAGATACATAGCTATAAAGGATCAAGAGAAGACTACATTTATACGTCCGTATGGTATGTGTTCTTTTTGCAAGGTCAAGATGCCGACTGATTTATGTAATGCACCAGCTACTTATGCTCAGTATTTTCACTCGTGATTGAGAAATGTGTGACGGGTGTAAATTCGAGTTGATCTTTAAATTACTAACTCCTAAAAAGGTAAGAATATTTTCTTGGCTACATTGGCTTCTTATAGATGAAGAATAGAAGTTGATAGGTCAAAAATTGAGTTGATCTTTAAATTACCAACTCATAACACAATAAGAGATGTGAGGTCTTCTCTCATACAAAAAAATTGTCATATCTAAACCATCTTAACTGAATTTATTTTATTGACCACTAGTAATCAAGATTAGGAAGACATAAAAATAAATTAAAGCAAGGAGCGTCAAGTTAATTATATGATTGGTCAATTCTGGACATTTTCGACCATTCACTTGGGCATTGCACCATTATGCGTTTCACCCGATAATTTCCCCTGTTAGTTAGGATTTAGGATGTCCTCATATGTCGAATTAATGTTGTCATCCTAACGTAAATCCATCATTGTTGATTATCCACTGTATATATAAATCCCCTTTGGACCATGCTTTCATTTTCTAAACAAAACAAGCCTACAAAATTTCTTGGCTCAACCTTTTCTTGTTAAACCATGGCCGTGACACAACTCGACGACTTGCCTGAAGATTGTCTTGCCCATGTCATCACATTCACGACTCCTCATTACGCTTGCCAGTCCGTGCTCGTATCAGCAATGTTTCGTAGATCTATTGAGTCGGACATCGTGTGGGAAAAATTCTTGCCTCGTGATTATCGCGACATCGTTTCTAAGTTAGTATCTCCGATAGAGTTTTCTTCAACAAGGGATTTGTTTTTCAAGCTTTCTGCTCCTCTTCTCATTGATGGGGGTACCAAGGTAAATGACATTTGTTTGAACTGTCACACCATGTAATTAATGATGTTAATATTTATTGCAATTAATGCAGACATTTGCCATTGATAAAATTACAAATAAGAAATGCTACATGTTGAGTGCAAGGGAATTATCAATTGCATGGACAAGCTTTCCTCTTTACTGGTGCTGGAAACGCCTTCTTCAATCAAGGTTTCTATTTTTTTTATTTCATCAATTTGGCAGAAAAAATTAAATTTTCTCACATTTTATGACAATTGATTTTTCGGGTTACAACAGATTTGCAGAAGGAGTAGAGCTTATAATGTTTTGTAGGCTAGAGATATATGGTAAAGTCAACACTCGAATACTATCATCAGACACAACTTATGGGGCGTACCTTGTCATTAAATTTGCGGATCGTACTTTCGGATTAGATTCATTACTGTCTGAAATTTCAATTGAAGTTGGCAATTACAAATCGAGAAGAAAGACTTATCTAAGCTACAATAAGCGAATGAAACAAGAATTTGGACGTGTTTTCAATCCACGACACAAAATTGACAAACCAAGATCACGATTAAGATCAAAAGTTTGTGAAGTAGAAGAATGCTTTCTTCATGAAAGGAAAGATGGATGGTTAGAGGTTGAATTAGGTGAATTTTATTGCGATTGCACAGACAGAGAAGTGATAATGAGCTTAGAAGAAGAGGTCAAGGGTGAGCACCTCAAAGGGGGACTTATTGTTGAAGGCATTGAGCTTAGGCCTAAATACTAGTACATAGAACCTAATTTTCAGATTGATTTTTTTTCCTTTTTTATTTCTATTTATAAACATGAACATTTTATGCAATGTCACCTTCTGTGTGACTTAATTTTTTTCTAAAAGTTGTCACGAATATTTATAAAATTGATATAGTTGCCGTATCTCTTCCCAATATTGTGTCACGTGTATGAAAATTGTATCCTCGGATGTGTCGAACTGATGTTATATTCGTGCTAATTATACCTGTGACCTAAATTGTATATAATATTACATGCCCTGACATTCTTATGTTTCTAACTTCTTTTCGCTTGAAAGTTGTGACTAATATGTGGAGCATTGTTTTTGTGACTTTCTTTTCCTGAATATGTAAGATACATAAAAAATCTTGCTCGATAATTCAAAATGAAGAAGGAAAATATGAATGAAATTCCTAACAATAAGGTTGAATTTTCTTCACCAAAAAAGAGCAAATATAGTAAAGACAAAACGTTTCTCTCCCCACAAAGAAAGGCATATGGAATTAGTGAGATCCAAATTTATAATAATAAACTTAAGATAATAATTCCTAAATTAAAAGATTCGTGAAAATAGGAAATCAAAAACTAAAAATATATTTAATTTTTTAAATTTTCTCTAAGGGCCTGTTTGATATGCCTTTATTTTCTTTGGAAGTTGGAATTGAAATTCAATTTCCTATTTTGTTATGTTTGATGACACTTTTTTTTCCTTGGAATTGGTTTTCCACATTTGCTAGTTTTCGTGGTTTTTTGTTTATCTTTCTTTTTTCTTTTTTTGCATTTTTTTTTATATTTGGCAATAGAAACAAATTATATCCCTAATTGCAAAAAAAAAATTATTCCTTTAATCGATAATTTCCATGTAAAACAAAGTCAAACGAACGTCAAAAAAAAGCAACCCAAACAAATTATATCTTCAATTGTAAGAAATTATATCCCTTTAATTGACAATTTTCATGAAAAACAAAATCAAACGAACACCAAAAGATAGAAAATTTCAACATTTTCAAATAGAAAATTATATCAATCAAACACAAATAGTTGACAATTTTCAGTAAAATAAATTTTAGGTAATTCAATTTCCTGTAATTCGTTTTCTTTCCATCTTTAAATCGAACGGACCCTAAGTTAAGAATCCTGCTGCAATTTTTCTACTGGATCAGGCGCCACTAACTCTTGGATCTGACCCATATATGGCCCATTAAACTACTTGATAAAAGTTTTAGGGACAAAAACCCTAATTCCAAACAAATCCATTATTTAAACCCCATGACACCATACGCCACCGCACGCGGTGGTTGATTCTGGCTGCCGCTCCCATTTATACAGAACGGGATCTCTCATTTAATGTAAGTCTCTATTTGTGTATTTGCGTTTCTATAAATTGATTGTGGTATTTATTTATCGGCGTACAGACGAGATCATAGAAGGTGTCGGCGGTGATGATAAGCTTTAATCCCAGCTCATTATGAGACCTTCTTTGTGTAAGGTCTGGGAAAATACTCTATCTCACGTCTTTCTGAGCTTCACACCTTCAATCGCCTTTTTTTTGTTGCCAATTAATTTTAAAATTTTCAAGTAATTAAAAAAAAAATCGAATGTTGGGTTTTCCATTAATTCGAAGTTGTGAACAATTTTTAGATTTAGATTTTCAAATTTTTTCTGATTTTTTTTTCTCACGCAAAATAAATTTGAAGTTTTTCCAATATTTAGCCTTTTGTTTGTTCGTTCATCGTTTATTGCTTGAACCTACTATCAGTGTTTTACCATATTCTTCAATATCATCCAAATCAATTGAATGCGTACTCACATGATCATTACCCAAAATGAATAGGAATTGGAACATCGTTTAGACCACTGAAATCACGATCCAGTAGCGGTGTAGTTTCTGGAGTGTTGAAAGCATTAAATAATTGACTGAATTCGCNTAAAATATACATTTTCTAAAATATTTATAATTTTTAAAATAATAAATATGCATTTTTTAAAATATTTTTATTAAAAAAAAGAGATAACCCTCCTCCTTTATCTGGGATTGGGATTAGCCACTTCAATTTCGAGTGGCGGAGTTAAAATTGTACACGAATAATTTGTTACGTGTCCATTTTTTTTAAAATTATAAATGTAAGAAAATAAAATTTTGTAATGAATGTAGTGAAATTAAATATCACTTACTTAATTACATGCAATTTCGGCATATTTATATTGAATTCGATAATTAGCGTCTTTCCAGTCCTTCACGCACATTAACGTTCCAAAAATATTTTCTTTTAGTCGACTTCAAATCTTAAAGAGAACCCTCTTCCTTGCACTAAAAGCAGGTTTTGAAGCTACAGTGCTAACCGTAAGTGTTAATAGATCTTTTGTGATTGCAAAAACTATTGGTCATCGACGTTCGTTATTTCGCCAGAATTCAATGACATCTTCTGAACTTTTCTTAATTGATTTGTTACTAGGCATAGTATAACTAAAGTAATTAATTAATTCAGATGGCAACGCATTTGGACTAGTACTCGAAGTTTGAGTACATGCAGTGTAAGTCAAACTACTACTACTAGAGGAACCATATGCATATGCATTTGAATCATATCTAAATGAGTTTATGTTTTTTAATAAACTTAAAATTTCAGCGTCGTCATCGTTTATATTAGTGGAAGGAGAAGTAGGTACACGAGTAATTTGTGTACCTATTTGTGAAGCATATAATTTATATATTTCAGTTAACGTTTGTTCTAAATTCCTATAAGTAATAGACATATTATAAGTAAAAGCATTTGAAATTTGGTTAATTATAAATTTAGCATTCAATAAATTATATCGGGGGTCCATAACGCATGCTAAAGGAAATAACATAGGTAATTTTTTTCAATATTTTTTAAATTTTAATTCCATGGCATATATAACTGCATAAAAATTAGGGCCATTTTAATATCTCTTAAAACCCCTAACAGTTATATAAAGACGTTCAAAAGCCATGCAACTAGTGGGATAATAAATACCAAACAATATATTTGTAGACGTATAAAAACTTGCCAAAAATTTTTTAATTTTAAAAATTGTAGTCCAATTGGATTCATTTAAGATATTATCGTCTTCGTCTTTAATATGCATACTGTTACAAAATTCAGTGATACACGTTTCAAAACTTTCACATGATTTTAATAATAAGAAAGTTGAATTTCATCTATGACCTATGTCAATAATAAAAATTTTTGTATGCTCGTTCCCAACTTATTCACAAAATTTTTCTATTAGGTGTAATCGTGATATATATAAGTGCAATTCTAATTCAACTAATTTCGTCATTCACGTGTTTTAAACCGTCTTGTACAATTAAATTTAAAATATGGCGCACACATCGAATATGAAATCAATAACCACCAAAATCGGGTTGAAGTACTCTATACAATTTATCGATAACAACTTTATTTACAGAAGTATTGTCAAACGTAAAAGAACGAATTTTACTCTCACATTTAAATTATCTAATTATTAACATAATAACGTTAAATATAGTTTGCGCGTTATGAGGATACTTAACAATTTTAAAAACAATAATTTTTTTATGCATAATCTAAAGTATGTCTATATAGTGTGCAGTTGCAGCTATATAACCCCTCTTATTAATCCCTTCTCACAAATTTGAAGTTAAAAATATCACACTCCCATATTTTTCTAAATCCGCAATCACTAATTTCTTTGTATTAAGAAAATATTCAATTGTATTAGATCGAAGAGTATTTCGACTTACCCCAATGTACTTCGGTTGAAGATATTGTTTGACGTAGTTTACGAAATGTTGGTTGTCCACTATTGCTAATGGCAGCTCCATCGCGGCAACAAACTTCACCATTCCCGTTCGAGCTTCCTTCTCCAAATACATCCACGTAGAAAGTGGCGTAATAGTAGCACCGGCGCTACTAGTACCAAACTGTAGTTGCGTTTGACCAGCTGGAAGAAGCTCATGTTTGGCCGCACATGTTTTGTAGTAACGGTTGAGGTAAGTGGTTCTAATGCCTTTTTGTCATGCCAGTCGTTGTCGACAGTATTTACACACTGCTTAGGTTTCTGGAAGTCCATAAAAAATCACACGACCCGTGTTAACCAATTTGAAATGGTCCTAACATTTTGCCTGCTTCTTCCCATTTCTTTTCCCTCTTGCATCGGGAATTTTTAATGCAGGTTTTTCATCTTGTTCTAAATCAATTGGAACACTAGGATCAATATCAACATCATCCAAATCAATTGGATCAGGATCATACCTTCACGAACGTCGAAATCTTCAATGTTTTCTGGAATTTGCAATTCATTGAAATCGGCAAATTCATTCTTAAATTGATTTTGGGCAGGTGTTTCGCCTTCCATATCGAACAAATTTTCAACAAAATGATTGTGGATCAATTGTGAATTGTAGAAATTGAATGTAAAAATGTAGAATTGAGAAGTGAATGAAGATTTTATACGAGTGTATAAAATGGGTTGTACAATTAAGATAATAATGTAAAAAATGTAGACGAAAATTATAGAATAAATGAATGATATTGTTGATAATGATTTATAAATTGTAGAGAGTAGAGAATGAAAGTTTGGTGTGAAAAAAATGTTGTAATGAGTTAGGTATTTATAGAAGAAGAAAAGTAGAAAAAAATAAAAAAAATTTTTTTAATTGCAACCAAACGGTCACTGAATTTCAGTGACCGTTCTGGTCACACAAAAAAAGTAAAATTTATTTATTCAGCTCGGCTAGCAGCTCGTGAACGGTGACGAGCCGAGCGAGCTGGCTCGTCTAGCGAGTCATCCCGCTTGATTTGTGCTCGTGCTCTTTTTTTAACAAGCTCGAGCGGTTCGTGAGCGTGAACAGTACAAGTCGATGAGCCGTTCGGCTCAATTAACACCTATATATATTATAAAGGAAAGGTCAGGGATATGATCGTGACGACAAAAAAGTTAAAGATGTAAATGCGACAATAAGTAATGATTGAAAACATTATTGTA